TGGCTGCCCCTCCTCCCTTCCGCCGTGAGCAGATGGCACCAGCGCTGGCCTCACTGCCCTCTCCTCTGCTCCTGGACCTTCCTCACACTGCCGAGCTGCTCAGCGCTCTCCCCTGATCTCCACTGGTTCCCAGTGGGCAGTGTCAGACAGCAGGCAGTTTGAGTTATCGGGAAAGTTAGGGACACCCCAACCTCACACACACACACACACACACACACACACACACACAGATGGAGAGATTTTTCAAAAAGCAGCAAGAGCGTATAACCTGGCAGATTCGGATCATCCTTGTTCTTCTTTGGTGGCTTAGTTTTTATCTTAAATTTCACCGTGGGAGGCATCTCAACATCTAGGGCCTCCGAGGGCTCAATCCAGCCCTGCCTCACACCACTCTGCTTGCAAACGTTTCAGGGCTCAGAGGACATGATGGCACAGCCTAGAAACAGACACAGCCCAGGAAGGGCTCAAAGACACAGAGGGCGTGTGCCCTCACTGGGGCTTTTTTTTTTTTTGCACTGCCTGAAAGTTCAAAACACGCTGGAACACGGAAAGAAAGGTATTTGCCTGGGTGACTCATACATGTTCCAGCATTTTCCCACAGGCTCCTGCTCATCCTAAAATAACTGCAACCCTGGATTCTGTCCCTTGGCATACGATTACTTTGGTATAATGTTACAGAGCAGCGACCACACTCACACGGGCGTTGCAGGAATGCACAGCCCAGGATGGGGCTCCATGCTGTGTGGCTGGAGAAAAAGGAAGCGCAGAGACCACAACAGGGAGAAGTGCTGACTCACCAGAATCATCCAGACCACAGAGCAGGGTCTGGGTCAGCGCTTACCTTCCATAGATGGGGAGAAAAAGACCCAGAGAGGGAAATGATACACTCAAACTTACAGTTTGGGGATTACAAGAGAAAGCTGTTGGGAGAGCTGGCCCTAATTGCTCATCAAATAATACTGATTTTTTTTTTCCTGTTTTAAAATTCAAGTATAGTTGCTGTACAATATTATATAAGTGGGGTGGCAGGGCTTCCCTGGTGGCTCAGATGGTGAAGAATCTGCCCGCCAAGGCAGGAGATCTGTGTTCCATCCCTGGCTTGGGAAGATCCCCTGGAGAAGGGAATGACAACCCACTCCAGTATTCTTGCCTGGAGAATCCCATGGACAGAGCAGCCTGGTGGGCTACACACTCCATGGGGTCGCAAAGAGTTGGACAGGACTAACGTTTCCACTTTTATTACAGGTGTACAGTATAATGATTCACAATTTTTAAAGGTTTTACTCCACTTATAATTACTGTAAAGACATTGCCTGTGTTTTACAATATATCCTGGTAGCTAATACATACAGATGTTTATTCCCGAGTCATCACTTTAGCCTTGGAATGCTAAGTCAAGGAAGTTTAAGGGTCTGCTGGTCAGCTAGGGTGCCCATGTGCCAGGTCTGGACAACAAGGTGGGTATAAGGTGTCACAATGGACCTGCCCTCAGGGGACTTAATAGTCTTGCTTAGGAGATGACTAGATGCTAAAGCAGCTGGATGACAACTAACCCCTGGCAAACAAGCCGAAAGCTGGTGGGAGTTTTGGGAAATGAAGTCTGAGAAGAAGGGTTCTATCCCAGCAGAGAAGGTCTCACAGAGAGGTGGGCCCCCAGACTGGGTGTCGACTCAGGTGGGAATGCCTGGAGGGGAGCAGAGGCAAGGTGAAGGGGAGAGGGGCAGTCCATGAACCTTGGAAACAAAACACTGGGCGGCAAGTGACCCTAGCATAGACGCCATTCCTTAACAGCTTCAAGTTGGGAATTCCCAGTGGTCGGGACTCCTTGCTCTCACCGCTGATGGGGAATTAGGATCCGACAAGATGCCTGGCACAGTCAACAGGAAAAATAAAATCTCCAAGTCCCTTGTTTTATCTGGGAAGCAGGAATAATTTCATAGGATTTTGACACAATATATTAAAAAAAAGAACCAACTCTCTGACCAAGGGAGAGGTGAGGGATTATTCTCAGGTTTCTGTGGAACTTCCACAGAGTCCTTTCTGTCTTGGTGCTAAAGATGAGGAGAGCGGAGCGCACACTTGCACGTCTCCCGGAGCCTGGTTCAATCCTTCTCCTGCTCCTAGGTCTGCGGGCACCTGTCACTTCCTTTTCCCTCACCTGTCACACCAGGATGTCAGTTACAGCTAACGCCTGCCATGTGCCAAGCACTACTTTCACGGCTTCCCATGTCTGATTTCATTTAATCAGAAATTTCATTTAAATTTAATTTAAATTTCATTTAAGCCCCGCCTCCCATTTATGGGCTTCCCTGGTGGCTCAGCGGGTAAAGATGGTGGTGGTTTAGTGCTTTAGTCGCTAAGTCATGTCTAACTCTTTGCGACCCCATGAACTGCAGCCTGCCAGGCTCCTCTGTCCATGGGAATTTCCAGGCAAGAATACTGGAGTAGATTGCCATTTCCTTCTCCAGGGGATCTTCCCGACCCAGGAATCAAACCCAGGTATCCTACATTGCAGGCAGATTCTTTACCAACTGAGCTATCTGCCTGCAATGCAGGAGAACCAGATTCAATCCCTGGGTGGGGAAGATCCCCAGGTGATTTAGTGACTAAACCACCACCCTGTTTTACAGCTGAGGAAACCAGGAAAGAAAAGGCTCTGTAACTGCCCACTGTTCCCAAGCTTTTCCATGATGCTTTGATTTGATCCCAGGAGTTCTAAATCAAGACTGTTCTGAACTAAAACGTTCTCTTAAAGAGCACTGGCATAATTAAATAAGCCGAACCCCTATGACACTAGAGAGACAGTTGCTTTATGTTCCTGACTCCCAGAGGCAAGATAGGCACATTAACAAGAGCCTTGCAGCCAGCCCTACACTCAGCCTGTCACCACCATGCAAGGCCGAGGGACCGCCGACCCAGGCTGGGTAACTCCTGCCCGATACCCACGTGCCATCTAATTTTGATGGCTGAAAACATTCTAACTGCACCAAATGGCTACCTGCTGATGATCTTCAGCGATAAAATATCCACCTCATTCAGTGACCACATAAGAAGCCTTTATGTTAAGATCCACTGAGCATAGGATCAGGGTCTAGCATCAGGGTCTTTTCCAATGAGTCAGTTCTTCATATCAGGTGGCCAAACTACTGGAGTTTCAGGACTCATGCTGAAGCTGAAACTCCAATACTTTGGCCACCTGATGAGAAGAACTGATTCATTGGAAAAGACCCTGATGCTGGGAAAGACTGAAGCCAAGGGAGAAGGGAGCGACAGAGGATGAGATGGTTGAATGGCATCACCGACTTGATGGACATGAATTTGAGTAAGCTCCGGGAGTTGGCAATGGACAGGGAAGCCTGGCATGCTGCAGTCCATGGGGTCGAAAAGAGTTGGACATGACTGAGCGACTGAACTGAACTGAGCATAGATGCCCAAGTCATCAAAAAGATGGTCACGTTCTTTACATTGATTCATCAAGTAAAGAGTCCAGTAGGCTTTTTTTTTCTATTTACACACTTATGTTTCTAGAATCAGTGTTGTTGTTAGCGGTCAGCTTATACTCCTCAAATGAGTTCACCCTGTAAAGATGTTGGCGGTCTCCCTCGGGAATGACTTCAGCCTTTCTCATCAAGCTGAGCGGCAAGCACGCCAGCGTGTATTTTTGTGCAGCACTGTCAGGCAGCAATATTAAACTCAGTACAGTCATGAGGAATTCAGCTCAGACTCAAGTCAGCAGGCCTCCTCACAGCTCTGAGATCTCAGGCCCATCTTTCTTTCTTCTCAATTTCCGCTTATGTGACAAGTCTTTAAAAAAAAAAAAAAAAGGTATCTCCACATTTTGGGGTTGGGAAACTTCCCAAGCTCTTAAAAGACATTAGTCCAAAAGATCTTTCCCCTCCAGTGGCTTCGCAGTACATCTGATCCCTAACTCCAGTGACTTCGAGGAACCCAATCTGGGAAGATACACCTGGTCCCAGTTTGACTTGGTGACTCAAAGAAATGTCAGATCAAGATGACCCCAAGACACTCACAGAACACGTGCCCAAGCCTCAGTGACCTGGACTCCAGGAATGCGTGGGCCAACCTCAGGCAATACTGGGAACTGGTTTCTCTTTGCACTTTTGAACCTACGCAGCTGGTTGATGAGGCCTGCAGGTGGCCTGGGGCCAGGTGGTCAGAGATGCACCTCGGCTGGGGCAGTCAGAGAGGTGTGATGGGCACATTCCCATTACCTGGGTTTATAGCCCTGGGTCTTCCCGGGTTCCAGCTGCAACCTGAGACAGAAAAATGACCAAGACTCATTTTCTCATGAGCCGCACCAGTAGGGATGTCACAAATCCCAGAGCAGGCTTGTAAATGCATCTGCTGTTTATTTTTCCTGAAGCCAGTGCAAGTCTATCTTGATGTTGTCATCCTTCAAAATTCAGAAACCACAGAAGACATTTTGAGTTACATTATTACTTTATTTTCCTTTTTTTATACATAGCATTAAAGTCATCCCACATACAGATATTTCTATGGCTCCTTACACATTTTATTCTATCTAAAGTATCATAGCTGTGAGATGACAAAAATCACCCCATTAAAATGGCAACATTTCTGAAAAACGGGCTTCATATTTAGTGATGAGAAACTGACACCCCATCTACTCCCCCCACCAAAAAAAACTCCTTCAATCCAGAGCTAGAAAGACAGTTCACATCCATGGCTAACATGTGGGGCCCGTACAGAGAGGGCTCCAGAACAACAAGCTATGGGGTTATTAAACTTGTAACAAGCAACTTCTTTATTTGTACGGATTACGAACACAAGAAAAGCATCATTTTCCTTTTTAGCCCTTTTATTAGTGTGTCTTGCCTCCACCCAAGTTACTGCGTACCAAGCGGCTATGAAGAGTAAAAACCAACTGATTTTAAGTCCCTGAAATGCATGCAACTTATAATTCCCTAAAGCACACATCAGTTCCCAGTCTCCGGGGCTGACTCTTCATCTTGTGGAGACTACGGTGCTGCCGGCTTAGCAGTTGTGTCTGTCGTGCTGCTGGGGTTTGGAGTTGCTTCTTCTTTGGCTTCTGGCGGCTGGGTTTCGGTTTTGGGGTCTTCTCTGTCTCCAGCACTCTTCTTGCTCTTGTCTGCGGCCATCTCCATGATCTCCTGTAGCGGCTGATCGGTCTCAAGGGAGCTGGGCTGGAGTTCGTAAACCTGGACTTGACCTGGGACATCTATTGCTTTCTGTTCAAGTTTTTCCAAGATGGTCTGAACCTTCCTGACCCCATCTCTCCTGGCCTGGCGGACATCAGCTCGTCCTTCTGGGTCTACCGAATCCAGGGCTAGTAGCTCTTTGGTCAGATACTCTTCTATCATCAGGTACTTTTTGTCTGTCTTCTTGCCTTCAAAGTTGTCCACAGCCTGTTCCAGCCCTTGCACTTTCTCCAGGATGGCTTCTACTTTCAGCACACCTGGATGCTTTGGGGGCACTTCAGCTTCTCCTGGTTTGGGGGGTGCAGCTTCTGCAGGGGCAGGACTGGGGGCTGCTCTCTCTTCTGCAGCCACATTCTTGGGGGAAGAGGGGACAGCAGAAGGGACGGCAGAGGGGACGGCAGAGGGGATGGTAGGAGGGGCGGGGCTAGGAGGACAAGGCACTGCAGCGGAAGGAACCTTTATTTCCACCTTCTCAGAGGGAGGCGGGGGCTTCTGCGGAACAGGTTGAGCATCCACCTCCTTTCGGATCACTTGGATCGGGATGTGTCCGGGAGGGAGATCTGGTCCAGTTGGGCCCGGCCTGCTTTCTGGCTTGTTTTCAGGCTGAGGAACAGGCGAAGGTTCTCGATGGGTCATGGGCTGTGGGCAAGAGGCAAGACACAGAGACAATTTTAATGGCTGAAAGTCACAGGTGGTCATTTGTAGCTAGTACTGACTTAGAAGGAAACGGGAACAACTTTTAAAAAGTTTAACTATTATAAAAGAGATTTTCAAAGTCAACTGACACCAGTTACACGAATAAAATATAGTATTCATCATGTATTATGGGGCTTCCCAGGTGGGGCTAGTGGTAAAGAACCTATCTGCCAATGCAGGAGACATAAAAGACGTGAGTTCGATCCCTGGGTCAGGAAGGTCCCCTGGAGGAGGGCATAGCAACCCACTCTAGTATTCCTGCCTGGAGAATCCCTGGACAGAGGAGCCTGACAGGCTACAGTCCATGGGGTTCCCAGGAGTCAGACATGACTGAAGAGACTTAGCATGACTAGCACACATGCATTATATGTAACCAAACCTTTGTTATGCTTCCATTTGTTACTTTGGTCTCTCAGTCTGTTATCTCTTACTTTTTCTGGAGATGGAATTCTTATGGCAATGAAAAGAAAACCAACATAATTTTTCAAAAAGGAAAATACCCCAAACTCATGCTGACTCCTGAGTTATTTCAGCTGAAAGCAAAGTTCTGGGTGACTCAGACTTTCAGGTGATGGAGCCATGGAGTAATAACTGCCACTTGTCCCCCTTCTGTCTGACAGTCTCTGCTCAGGATATGACCTTCCCATCTCCTGTTTCAGCAAAGTTATAATCATCTTTTTTTTTTTTTAAAAAAAAAAAACCTATGACGGCCTTGTGGTTTCTGCCCAGACTGATGTATTTTTTGAGAATAAGCAAGATGCCCCAAATGGGTAACCCTGTAAGAATTCTGCTTGGACACATTTGTGCCAGAGCTGATACTGGCAGAGTACAGCACCTCCACACCTACTACATGGCTACACAGGCTGAGATACTCTTTAATGTGACTATAGGCTAGAGGTATATTTTTAAAAATGAACTATGCCTTCAACAGAAATATCTTGGTTCAGCTAGCATTCAAGTGAATATCTAAAACCCCCTTTAAAAAATCTCACACACTCTGACTTCATCAACTGGGAAATAGGAGTTGGACTATATTATTTGTAGAGTACTCCATATTAAAAACACTAAATCCCACTATAATATTCAACTAGGTCAAATCTTTGCAAGCCTCCAACATGGGATCTCTGAACAAGCTGTGAAAGGGAGGCCACTACAAACAAGTAAGATTAAGTGGAAATAGGATTAAACATTGTTTCACCAATTACAGAAAATATATAGGAAAGATATGAGAGGAAACATTGCCAGCTTTGCAAACGGGCACTTCTCTCCCCTTTGAAAAGATTACTGAGTTTAAGTAAGGATCTGATGGACGCTTGGCTGTTTGAACAACACTAGCCTCCCTTTCCATCAAATCTCTTCTGCCAACCAGAAGTCCTCAACTTTGGCCCTTAGCATTCACAAACTAGCCACACGCCTCTCCTTGGGCTTTAAAACAGTAACTGAATAAGCAACTTTAGAAACACTTAAAAGGGGGTGTGCCCTCTGGCTTGTACTTTTCAAAAACTTTTCAAGGTCATGATAGCAAAAAAAGACTGAGAAACTGATCCAGATTAAAGAAGACTACAGGCAAATGACACCTGCATGCAATGCTCATGGTCCTAGAGTACATCCTAGAACAAAGGGGAAACTGCTCTAAAGGAGATGTGGAAATGAACTGTGAATGAGACAACGATGTTGTAAGGATGTTAACTTTCCTGCATCTGATAGTTCTAATGGAGTTATGAATGAGAAGGTAGCTCTCTAGGAAAACATCTGCTGTCATGTTTAGGGGTTAAAGGGGCATGTTATTTATAACTAAATATCAAACAAAAAATATAGATAATATATGCAGAGAGGCAAAATGACAAGGCAAATGAAGTAAAATGTTAACAGTGAATATAGCTGAATCTTTGCTTTTCATGACCTTCACATATACTGGACTTCTCTTCTGTAAGGTTGAAATCATTTCCAAATAGAAAAGCCAAAAACAAAACAAAAACAAAAACCAGTAACAGGAGGCACTCTGTTAGAGGGCCCTGGACAGTGCCCTATTTGTAGGAAGAAGGTGCCCTCCATCTGTTTACAGGAGACCTTCCTTTTGAGAACAGTGGTCGAGAACTCACTCAGCAGCTGAGGGGCCCTGGCTGCTGGGTATTCGGCGGCTTTAAACTAGAAGACTGCTCCGCCCAGGGATCAACGCCTGCACACTTCTGTGCTGTGCGCTGCGCTAAGTCGCTTCAGTTGTGACTGACTCTTTGTAACTCTATGTACTGTGCCCTCCAGGTTCTTCTGTCCATGAGATTCTCTGGGAAGAATACTGGAGTGGGTTGCCATGCCCTACTGACTCTTTGTAACTCTATGTACTGTGCCTGCCATGTTCTTCTGTCCCTGAGATTCTCTGGGAACAATACTGGAGTGGGTTGCCGTGCCCTCCTCCAGGGAATCTTCCTGACCCAGGGATGGAATCCACGTCTCTTACATCACCTGCACTGGCAGCTGGGTTCTTTACCACTAGTGCCACCTGGGAAGCTAGTGCACGCCTCTAGGGAAGGTTAAACGGGCCCTGCCTGTGACTTTCACCAGATAGGCAGGAAGGTTTCCCAGCCGCCCAGCTGGCCAGGCATCAGCCGGGCAACACGGTCCTTTACTGCAAAGGAGGAGAAAGGAGTAGGACAAGCTCCCTGTGGTCAAGGTCAAAGCAGGGCTGAAGAGAGCCAATGAACACTTCTGAAATGCATAGGATAATCAGATGCTGGACTGTAAGAGACCAGGCACCCTGGGAAAAGATGAGGAGGCTGCATGGAAGCAGCAAGACTGGCTTGTCCCTTGGAGGATGGGAAAAGTACAGATTGTGGAGGCATCTCAGGAAGTGGGTTCAGTGTGAGCAAAGACACGAGAGAGGAGACAACAGATGGAAGAGCTGGCAGGGTGCGGAAGGGGTATCTGTGAGGCAGGAGATGAGGCTTTGGCTGGAGTGTGGAGTGGGGTATGTCAGGGCCCTGAAAGGGTATGGTGGGCAGAGGACACCTGGGCCCCAGATGTGTGATGCTGCACTCTGCCCACCATTGCCCATCACGGTCGTTGGAACTCTGCCCCTGAGGCAGCTGCAACAAAGAATGAGCAAAAGCTTAGAAGGCATGGGAGGTTCACAGCCCTCACCCACATTTCTGCTGGTGACCAGCATTTCCAGGATCTCTGTCTCCCCAGGAAGGGCTGGTGAGGGCAGGGGGCCCAGGACACTGGCACAGAGCTCCTCTGGCCTTAAAGGGTGCCACCCCAGCCCACCTGCGACACCGACTCCCATACCTGAGGCCTGTCGACCGCAGTCTGCACACGCAGAGACGGCGGGGGCGGCACTGGCGTGCTGCTTCTGGCGGGAGAGCCCTCCCGGCTGGACGCACCCCGGACGGGAGGCCGGAAGGGGGACGCGGTCCACGTGGTCCGGGGCTCCCAGTCATCCCCCTGGATCTTGTGGTACACGGGCTGGTGCGTCTGGTATTCGCCCTGCTGAGCGGGATAGTGTGTCTTCTGGGCTTGGTGGAAGGATGGCTGGGCTGCCGGCCGGGTGACGTTCTGCTCGTGTATCACAGGGATGGAAATGTAGCCCCGGGGGAGCTGGTGACCGCCCAGGCTGCTCCTACCAGAGGAGGTGGGCAGGCTGGCTGAAGAGGAGGACGAGGAGCAGTCCGAGGCCGCTGGAGACTGGGACCGCTGCAAGACACGGAACATAGACACACGGCCCTGTGAACCCCCTTCGCCTGGCTCTCTGACTCCGCCCCCAGCATGTGCCTGCTCAGGGTGGCAGGTTTAATACGACCTCCCATCTGTTAAGCCTTTCCAGTGTCCAAATGTACTGTTAAGACTGGGAACTCAGGAGTCAAGAGGCCTGGGCTCAAATTCTCAACAGCCTGACAGCTTTGTTGTTGTTTTAGTCACTAAGTTGCATCCGACTCTTTGCGACTTCATGGGCTGAAGCCCACCAGGCTTCTCTGTCCATGGGATTTTCCAGGCAAGAATATTGGAGTGGGTTGCCATACCCTCATTCAGGGGATCTTCCGGACCCAGGGATTGAACCTTAGTCTCCTGCATTGCAGTAAAGAATCTTCTTTACTGTTTATGAGCTGCATTTAAAGTACAGAAAAGAGTAACCCCTCCTCACCCGACTGACTTGAAGATTCTGTAAAAGAATCAGTGGGTGTGTCTGGCGCCAGCACCACACACAGGAAGTGCTCACTAAGTTTTAGTCATTGTCGTCACTTCATTTCCTCTTTCCTAAACTCTTTTCCTGCTTATCCCCGGAGAACCCAGGGGCCAGCGGGAACCACGTCCCCATGTGGATCGGGGCAGGCCAGGCCCCTCTCCATCCTGACAGCCTACTTTCTATTCTGGAAAAACAGAAGAGTGTTTTCCCAGCTGGCTTCTAAGGCCCCTGCTAGGTTAAATTTGTGAAGATTTCTCTGACTGACGCATCACTTTTGATTTTTACAACAAAAACATTACAAATATAGGTACTGCCTCTCCAAGAAAGGGAAGCTCACACCTCCTGTGTGAGTGTGTGCTCAGTCATGTCCGACTCTTTGCGACCCCATGGATCACAGCCTACCAGGGTCCTCTGCGGATGGAATTTTCCAGGTAAGAATACTGGAGTGGATTGCCATTTCCTTCTCCAGGGGAACGTCCCAACCCAGGGATCCGACCTGCGTCTCTTGCCTCTCCTGCACTGGCAAGCGGGTTCTTTACCACGGCAGCACCTGATGCCTCCATTAACTACGTTTTTCACCTGGAGTGAGCATTTGTGCTCAAGAGCAGCGCGGGGGACATAACGGGGCGGTGTGCCAACAGGAAAACCCAGAGGGCCCGTGGCTCAGGATGCCTGCTGGGGTCCACTGGCCTTCAAGTCTCAGCTAAGAACCAGGTTAAGCACTATGCTTTGAATCTTAGTGCAAGGAAGTGCCGCCCTCAGGCTTAAAACCGGAAAAGCAGCTGCCTCCCTGATCCTAATTTTATGCTTTGTTTTAAACGGCGGACACTGTGAGGGCAGGCACGCGGTCTCATTTTCACGTCAGTGCAGCTCCGAGCAGTTAACACTCACCTGTGAACACTGAACTAAGTGAAATGACACAGTCTCTCTGTGTTTCTGACACAGAAAGCTCAGTGGGAATGGCAGGTGTCATAGGAGGAGCCAGAAGGCCAGCTTTCCAGGCCCTGCGATGCCACTTCCGACTTCATGCTTTTGGACCAAAGCTGTTTACCCTTTCTTGAGCCCCAATTCCCGAACTACAGAAACTAACCACAATCCCTGCTCATCTGAAAAGCCAGCCTGTGAAATGCTGGGGGGACATGGGGCTGTCAGCAAGCGACCTTTGCTGGGCGACGCAGGCCAGGCCCTGATACCCCACATCTCACTGGGCTCTCATCAGGGTCTGGGGTCATCTGAGGTCTGGGGCAGCCCAGGAAGCACGAAACCCAGCTCCCACCCACCCCCGCCCCCTGCCCGCACAGGTCACGGCCACAGGCCCACGAGCCAGGCCTCTCCTCACCTCGGGTCCATGGGAGGCTGGGGGCTGGGCTGCCGCAGCAGCTGCCGCCGGTGCACTTGGTTTATCTGGCTGGCTGGCTTCCGCCACACCCCGCAGGGGTGACTGGGACCTCGGGGGAGCCGCTGCAGCCACCTCGGTTTGGAAGCGTTGCGTCCCGGGCTGGGAGTAGGCGAAGACAGGGTACGGCCGGCTCGGGGCGCCTTCATGGAGGACGGGGATGGGAATGTAGCCTGGCCGGAGCTGGGGGTACACGGCGTGACCTTCCCTGGTGGGCAGCGGCCTGGGGCCCTCCCGTGATGGCCCATTTGCAGAGGATGCGGTTTCCTAAAAATGAGAGGAGACACACAGACCTGTCAGAAACTGGGAAGGAACAGCCCCGAGAAAGCATAATGCCACGTGCTCTGATCTTCCAGAGTGACCCTGGGCCCCACGGTGCCAGCTAGGAGCCAGGACAGCTGAGCACAGAAACTGTGGGTACCTCCCCTGATCCCCTACTTCTTCCAGACCCCTCCTCCCTTGCTGAAGCTGCTGTTGGCCCAGCAGTTTAAGAATCAGAAGCATCAAGAGAAAGCAAGAGACAAGCAAGGTATCTGTGGAGCACAGAAGTCCCAGTTTCCCGAACTTGTAAGATAGGTTTTTGCTCTGGATGACAAAGCAGCCGTGCATACAGGGGAGTCCCCGACAGCCTCCCAAACCTTCAGAGACCCAGATCAGAAGATGCTAGGAGGATTCAATGCCAACTCGCTAAGTTACAGCCAGCATCTCAGCTTCCTAAATGGTCCTCACATTTCCTGACAACGCAGATTCGCATGGGACCCCGACACAGGCCGCAGCTCGGAAATCTGCAGAGAAGGGGCGGCGGCGGGCAGGCAGCCTCCTCGGGAATATTTTCAGAACAAGCGGCAAGAAAGGGAGATACCCGAGGAATGCATAAGAGGCACAGGATGAGAACAAAACCCGGGGATTAGTTGTGCTGGTCTTGTGATGCCAACAAAGCCTGCCTGGCGAGGAGTGGCTGGGGTCCCTCCTGTGTCCTCTCAGAAGTTCTCCCTTCAGTGGCCTGGCTATTTTGGGACCCTTGAGAAGGCCAAGTTCCAGATGTACCACAGAGAAAGATCCTGTTTCAGACAACAAGGCTGGCCAGTCACTCACCGGGCAATGTCACTCCTCAGCAAGCAGAGGTTGGGCGACTGAAGCCAGCGACCCCCGTGGCTTCCTGTCCTGACCATCTCCTGAGCACTAGAGGGTCCTTTCACAGAGGAGGGGAGTGAGGATCCGTGCCACTTCCACGCATCCAAGTGGACAAACTACCGTGCCTCCTTACGAGGCATCCCCCTGAACGGCAAACACCAGCAGGCTGAGACTGTTTCTGCTGGGGCGAAGCTGGTCACAAGGAGGGCAAGCCCTGGGCCTTAGGTCTTTCAGACCGTGAAAGACTCCCTCTGCCCTCCTGCTGAGCTCGCCGCCCCAGCGGGCCTCCCAGCACTCAGGAGAGGCCTGGGTGTCGCCGTGTCCTTGGGGACACCGGCAGACAGGCGGTACTCTCAGATTAGAATACCCACGTGCTCAGGGCGGCGGCATTATTTTAGCCTGCTTAACTCTCGGGTCACCCAAGAGCAGGGAGTGGGTCCAGGCGTGACATTCAGAAGCGCATTCCTGCCACGAGACGGGCACCAGAAGGGAGGCAGCAGGAGCGCTGAAGGAGGCCCGTGCTGCTGGGTGCTGACTCATCAGAGGCCGGCTAGGCAAGTCGTCCTCGCCCCGGGGCACCTTCCCTCCAGCCTGGAGCGGAGCCCGGACAAGTGTGGGGGGCGGCGTCCCTGCTGGCTTCCTCCTAGCCACGCACTAGATCAGAGATGGGCAAGTTAGCAGCCCTCGTCCGCTGGCTGGCCCCTGGTGAACGCCCTGCTCCCGAGCTACTGGGAACCATGGTTTACAAACCAGCAAGGCCCAATCCCTGCCGGCCGGGGGCCACAAGAAACAAACAGGACGACCACCTGCAGCGCACAGGGGCCCACCTGGGCTCTTCTAGTAGGGTGGGGCTTCCGAGAGGGGGCTCGAGTTCTTTCTTAGCTCTGCTGGTAACCATTCTTTCATCAGGGGTAAGTCTCTTTACCTCCGTGAGCCTTAATCCCCTTTGCTAGAAAGTGGAGCTAGCAATACCCACTTCACAGGTCTATCGTGAGTTGTTACGAGAGCCCATGGAGGGGGCTTTGCCCAGGGGGCTGAAAGGCATTCCCTCCCTAAACAGCACAGGATGCTGCGACTCAAGACGCCCAAGGGTCAAAGAATCAAACCTGAAGGACACAATGAACCGGCGGTGACCGGAGTCAGGAAGGTGGACGCACCTGGAGGAAATGGTAATCATCTGGGAAGGGACCCTCTGAGGAGATGGAAAAGTTCTCTCTCTCTCTGAGTGGTGGAGATAAATGAGTGTACACTCATGTGTGACAGAAGTCTCTCACACTCTCATCTCTGGGGCCCCCACGCTGCCCATCCCTGCCTCAGTCCACCTACACTACCCAAGCTGAACCCGTGAGGGTGGCCCCCCCTCACCACCCCGTTGTTAGCTGCGCCTCCACCTCAGACCCTCCAGGGGCCTGGAAACCTTAGAGAGGCCTGGCCACTCCTGGGGGAAAGCCCCTGGATCCAGAGGGTCCTAGGGCGGGCCTGACAATACATTTTACGCATCTCGCTGAATATATTTTGTGCCTCAGTTGAAAATGGAAGAAAAAGGGAGGAAGGAGGGGAGGACGGCAGAGGAGCAGTTCTGCCTGCCCCAGGGGCTGTGACGGCACAGCCAATACGTGGCCTGGGTCTTGGGAGCAGTGCCACGCTTGGGTCAGTGGAGGGAAGCGTGTGGACGCTGTAGGCCGGGATGGGGGCGTCAGGGGCCCAAGCTGGAAAGAAGGGAGGCTGGGAGAGGCCTGGAGGCTGCTTTCCTATAGTCCTGAGGTCTGCACTCCTGGTTCCGTGTGAACGAACAGCTCATTTATGCCGTTTAATAAAACCCCCACACATCTCTTCACAATCGTCATGTCTAAAAGAAGGCAGGCGGCCCTGACACTCTGGTGGCAGGATGGGGGGCTTTGTTTAGAAAACACTGCTTGAGCTGTTTAAAAAAATCATCTCACGTCTATGGACTAGAAAACTAACGCTTCTACGTGAACAAAAACTTAAACACCCGCCTGTGACAAGGCCCGCACGGGGTGCTGATGCGGCCCCCGTTCCCACTCTGCTCTCGTGAGAGACCTGTCAGCAGCAAATGCTTTGGGTCTACGAACCAAACTGCAGGACCCAAGAGAGTCACACTGCCCTTTTTACCTCCTGTGGTGTTTCATCAGAGTCTAGTGAAAGAAAAGATGAACTTTTATTCCGGGGGGTGGGGGGGAGACTTTAAAATGTTTAATTTATATTAAAGTATTTCTATAACTATGTATTTAAAGTAAGTATACATTCAAATGGCTTCCCTGGTGGCTCAGATGGTAAAGCATCTGCCTGTGATGTGGGAGACCCGGGTTCAATCCCAGGGTCAGGAAGATTCCCTGGAGAAGGAAATGATAACCCATTCCAGTACTCCTCCTGGAAAATGCTATGGATGGAGGAGCCTGGTGGGCTACAGTCCACGGGGTCGGAAAGAGTCGGACATGACTGAGTGACTTCACTTTCTCTCTATACATTCAAATGTATATAAACATACATATATAATAAGTATATGTTAGAAATATGTATAATTCTCCTAGAAAACGTCTAGAACATGTCTCCTTGGTCCCGTAAGAAGTGTTCTCAAGTGCAAGCCCAAGCCTCTTGGTTATGCCGGCCGCTGTCTTTCATAGAAGACGCACCACCTGCCCTGCCCTGACTTCGCTGGGGACTGGGGCCTCCGTCTCCGGGGGGTTTCGCGCAGTGAGGCCCTGCGATAGGCACGGGGTGCCAGCACAGTGACCAAGCGGACACCGGCCGGCCCGGCCTCCCCATCACCGCCTGCCTCGCTTCCTGAGGAGCAGGGACAGCATCACAGGAATTACCCTCCGGTCAGCTCAGCTCATTATCCTTATCTGTGGGCAGAGCCATCAGGAATACATTCACACAACATCCAATTAGGAAATCAGAGCCTGACTCCCACTGCTTATCTCACTGCACCAATTTATAAAATGAACTGGCCAATTCTTCTTCTTTGGGCATTACGTTAAAATCCTCTGCAGGTGCCAAACAACTCCATGAGAAAGCCAGGATGAAAAGCAGGAAAAATTGCCTCAGATGAGCCAAAACCTGCCCTAGCAAATATAAGGTATTATTACTAGCTAAGCCTGGGGTCAGGCTCTGAGCTTTCACAAGGGTGTGGCCTACAAACAGGTCTTATTTACTCATTGTTGCTGTTGTTCAGTCGCTAAGTTGTGTCCGAGTTTCGCGACCCCATGGACTGCAGCACATCAGGCTCCTCTGTCCTCCATCATCTCTGGAGTCCGCTTAAACTCACACCCATCGAGTCGGTGATGCCATCCAACCATCTCATCCGCTGTCAACCCCTTCTCCTCCCGCCTTCAATCTTTCCCAGCATCAGGGTCTTTTCCAGTGAGTCAGAGCTTTGCATCAGGTGGCCAAAGTATTGGAGTTTCGGCTTCAGTATTAGTCCTTCCAGTGGATATTCCGGGTTGATATTCCTTAGGATTGACTGGTTGGATCTCCTGCAGTCCAAGGGACTCTGAGAGCATGACTACACTTCACCACTGACTTTTAGTAACAGCGTGGGCACCAAGGGACAGCTAGCAGACTTGGAAAGAGACTGCACGTGGTCCCAGAGCCAGCTCTGCTCCTACCCCCCACCCCAGCTTCCTGAGCTGTGAAATGAAGAGCTGTAAAGCAGTGGTTCTTGGACTCTAGGGGCATCTGGAACACCCAGGAAATTAAAAAAAAAAAATGCAGACTCGCTGTTCAGTCCTAACAAAGTCTGACTCAGAAGGTCTGTGGGGAAACCTAGCCCCAGTGGCCCTGGGAGCAGAGCTCTGAACGAGGGTCCTTCCAGCTGACCTTCTCTCTGACCTCCAATCCCAAGATATCGCCTAGCTCTAAACACCTATATAAGGCTCAAAAACAAGGAAAAATTGATGCTGCAGAAATCTAAAAATGATCACTCTTCACTGTCCTCAGTTAAATCACATCAGAAATAGCTGGAACTCAAGGTGCCCCAAAGTTTCAGGAAGAGGAGGAGTTCCCTGTGCTATAGACTCAGCACCTTAAAAGCAGGCCGGGACCATAAGCCCTGAAAACCATGCCCCCGTGAGCCCCAACCTCAGATCCAGAGTGCAGTGTTCTTTAAAATG